CACACCCACATTCATTCAAGAACCGGATGCAAGAAGCCCTAGGAAAAGCGCCTTGAGTTGAGATGATAGATGTGCTTGTATAATTGGCCCACTGAGCTTCACAAACGAAGGTGGGGGGATGAGACACAGGATTGCAACCTCCTCCCCCCTCTTAGACTCTTCTCCCCCCCCGGATCTCTCGTGCATCCTCTGGGCTTCCCCACAAAGAGTTAAGCTTAACTCAGGCCTAAGACCAGCCTTTAGGGAAACCGGGGGAAGAGGATGCACCGCTCGTAGTCCTAAGAAGATCTAAGAAGAATCCTTCGGTAGTTCCCCAATTGATGCAAACGCATGTCCTGTTGACAAGGGCATGGTCAGGTCCTTGGAGGTATGGATGTGATATTCAACTCAAATGAGGGGGTACAGAATGCCCAACATGGTTATTTTGGCAAGCATCAATATTCCCACACACCTGAACACGCCCGTGACCCACCGGCCGCGAATCACCGGGCGCGATTCCTTCCGCCCGCCTTTCGCCGGGTCAATCTACATGTCCCAAGTATCGCATCTGGGGAACCCAATGGCCTTCCGGAACGAGAAATCCATACCGTGGATGATTCTCCTGTCTGAGGATTCCCCGAAATGCCAACCAACGTTATGGTTTCAACCATGTTCTGGTTTCGGTGGTGCGAGCGGCCTTCGCTTTTCCATCAACACCAACCTCTAGGCATCCTCGCGCGCAGGATGCCGCTGCCCTTGCAGCCACGGGCGCGAACGCCTGCTCGTCCGGCTCCACGGCGTTCCGGCGCATCCACGAGATCCAGGCGAGCGCCCCAGAAACCTGAGAAGCCGAACGGGGTGAGCCCCAGGCTGCCAGGGGTGACAGGGAACCCTTCACAAGGGTCGCGCCAAGGCAGGCTGGTTGCACTCAAAATGAGGTTTTTTCCTTTGTTGGATGCGCAGAAAAGTGCCAGACGGCTGTGTCTGTTTGCGGATGGCACTCAAAAGGGGAACATCTGCGTCTGCCCCGGACTAACCTTTGCACACCCTTTCCGATGATCTATCAAAATGCCCCCCAAGCACAGGAGTGTTTTTCCCGACCGCGAATAACCGGCGCCGGCCCAGCAGCATCTGATACGTGGCCGCGCGCCACGATCAAGCTGCTCACGGTGCACACGTCTAGCCTCGCGTCGCTCAAACGCCCAGAAGCAGGCCAATGGAACGCGGACTCGCCAGCACCCCCCGCTTCCGAAAACGCAAGGGCCGCTGGGGGCATAACATCACTTCCCGATTTTCTTTTCCCCAACTTTCCTTTTCAAGGGGCCTCATGACCTGGTTGGGATCACTTGAGTCATACCCAAGACCTGGTACCAAAATGGTGAGCCAAGACCAAAGAGTTACTAAGGCGGCTGCACTGCACCCATTTCTAGTTGACACTGTCCCTTACTTTCAACTACTTCCATTTGCTTAAGCCCCCAGCAAATGGAAGAGACTACCCGGGTTTCGCTTTTTGAGGACGTGTCAACTAGAAATGGGTGCAGTGCAGCCGCCTTAGTAACTCTTTGGTCTTGGCTCACCATTTTGGTACCAGGTCTTGGGTATTAGGATCACTTCCCCTGCCCCAGCCCTGCACCCAATGGCCTGCTTCCGCCCCCCCTCCCTCCCCCCCCTCCCTCCCACCACTCCCTCCCACCCCCCACCACTCCCTTCCACCCCCTCCCTCCCACCACTCCCACCCCCTCCACCCCCCCCTCCCTCCCACTCCCCCCCTCCCCCACCACTCCCACCACTCCCTCCCACCCCCCCCTCCCTCTCCCTCCCACCACCCCACCCCCCCGCCTCACGCGCCCTTTGTGCAGCCCCGCCAGGCGCCGCGCCGCCGCGCGCCACGCGGACTTCGCCGCCAGCGCCCGCAGCGCGGGCGCCGCCGCCGCGGCGCCGAAGCGCCGCGCCAGTGGCCACGCCGCGCTCAGGGCTGCGGGGCCTGGTGGAAGGCGATCCAAGAACCAAACATGCTGTGGATGGATGAAATCCATTTCGCACCACTTGGAAACCATGGAAAACCTATGTTCGTTGGCATTTACTGGGGAATCATCATTCCAGGGTTTCTTAGGTGGTGCAGGAGTTCGTCCATCCACAGTAGGTGGGTTTCCCTGGTAGATGATGAAACCACCAGGTAAACCAGGAATCGCCATCTACTGTTCGACCAAAACAACCAAAAAGGACACCTATAACACCAAACCCAAGCTATCACTTGGTGGCATGGCTACATTGAGAAACCATCACGCGAACTTCTTTCCCTTGCAATTCCTCTACAAAAATGCAGGCGCCAGCCCATAGTGAAACCCAAGCGAAGAAACCAGGAAAGGAGCCAAAAACATACAGACACGGTTGAAAAACCAAACCCAGGCCACTGTGGATGTGTGCAAAACCCATTTTGCACCATCTAAGAAACGGAAAATGATTCGATTCCAACATAAATGCCAAGGAACAATGGTTCCAACCATGGCTTTAACGTTTCGCCAAAGGTTGATAATAAAATCAAACAAAAAACTCAAAGCAGGTGCTTGCCATTGAAACGATCGCCACTTTTGGAGGTTGCAAGGAGGGAAATGGAGGAACCCCAGAAAATTGAGCTTAGCTCAGGAAACTAAACCAAAGGCCCCCCACAGCACAGAAGCTTGTCAGGGCTAAAGCTCTGTTTATCAGGCGCCCTACATGATCATCCCCTGCGAAGGGGAATCTAAAGGAACCCAGAACTTACGCAACCAAGAGAAACATCGAAGAGGGCAGGGTGTCCCTACACATTCACTTCCAGACCGTGGTAGGAATCCTTGCTGGTTGATCCCCCATTTGGGGGTCAATGACCACCCCTACCAACCAAAAGTAGACCCCTAACCAAAAAACGTACTACGAGCGATGTCTTGCTCGTGGCAGGTTTCGATTCTTGGGGCAACATGTCCCCCCCCCCCCCCAAAACCCCGGCCTGCCCGAGCACTGTGGGCCAGGAAGACGCGGGCCATCGTGGCATCCGGGATCATGGCTCCTTGCTGCAAACGGACCATGAGGCCCAAGCCAGAAGCCCAATCCTCGCCGCGCAGGAAAAAGAGAGCCAGAGAATCCTGGTCTTCGGGTCGGGGTGGGGAAACAGAAAGGAAAACAAAAAGCTGGGGGCCTACTTTGGGATAGGCCTTCCGCAACAAGCACTTCCCACACAAAGGGTGCAGTCGGCTCTTTCAAATCTTGGGTGAGCCGACTCATAGGAAGGGTGGACAAAACAGTGGGCGCTCAGGCTTGCCATCATAGCCCAGCATCGCTCCCGAGTGCTGAAACCACGCTGCTCCCCATCACAGGGGTGACAGGCACGCCTCGATGCGCCATGGTCTCCATTTCAGCCAGCACGGAGGACCAGCAAGCAGCCTTCTGGCACGCATCTGCAGCGGAGCAGTGGCTCACCACATCCAGCTTCACGCCATGCAGCTGCGCCTGTCGCAGCTGCCAGCAGCCAAGCTGCCACTGCTCTGAGGCCGCCGCGTGCGCCGCGATGTTCGCAGCGGCCAAGTCCCCCCGCAGCTCCGTCGCGCCGTGCGCTGCGTGCAGCGCGTGGGGCCAGGCCGCCGCGGCGGCGGCGGCCGCCTGGGCGCTGCGCAGCGCCACGGCGTCGAGGGCCAACCGCCGCCGCCGCGCGCGGCCCAGCGCCGCCAGGGGCCAAGCCCAGCCGCGGCCGCCCAGGGCCTCGGCCACCGAGGTGAGCGCAGGCACGTCCGCCTGCGGCAGACCCGGCTGACCTCAGCGTGTCGCATGGGCGCCGCTCAGGCGTGAGGAAACAAACGAGCAGGCAGTATGCCAAATAGTGCAGTCACAGGCGCCAGGCGCACCCGCATTCATCTTGTCAAGGAGCTGAATGGACATGTGCCAAACTTGGCACTTGCACAGGGCGCCCAAGATGATGCCGCAGGCCATGAGGTCAACCGCCAAGCCCCCCCAAAGCAGCTGCAGTGCATGCTGCCAGCGTGCCGCCCGGTCACCTCGTTTGTGCAGAGCCTCCACTCAAGAGAGGGGTGCTGGCAAGTGCTAGTGGTGGCAAGTGCTTGGGTGGTGCTGGCAATGGTCATGGTGGTGCTGCCAAATGAGCAGAGGCAAAAAGGGCAAACAAGTCAGTGGAATGCCGGCAGCGTTGCTCAAACAACCACATCTACAACTTACCACCCTTTGCTCAAGGCGGCAGGTTACTTTCTAGGTAAGTGGGTTGGCACCGATTTGTCTACTCCAGGAGCCTCATAGGTCAGCATGGTCAGCCTAATTTGGCCCCCCCCCTTGGCCTTTTGAATATGCGTGTCCGGCACATTGCACCCTCATTCGCCGGAGATATTCACGTAGAATTTGTTTCTTACTCCATCAGGGGCTCCCCTCGACCTCCCACCGCTGACGCAAACCCAGGCGCAGGCTTGCATCGCCGCAGAGCAGCAGATGATGGACGCCTCCAGCTGCACGGCGCGCATCTGCCAGAAGAGCGCCAGCCCGCCCTGCCATGCCTGCTCGCGGCCTCAAAGGCAAGGCCGAGCTGAAGCAACAAAACAAAAGCAGAGACGAAGGTCCTGAAAAGACTCCCGAAGCTGTTTGCAACCCCCCAACCCCCTCCCCCAACCCGCCTGCCGCCCGAATGGCAGCAGTTACCTCCTGCGGCCGCATTCAGCAGGCGTTGCATGGCGCATGGGGGCCTCACCCCGCCCCCACACCCAGCAACCTCGGCTTCGGGGCTGGCGGCTCTTCGGAAAGCACTCCGCAGGTAAGAGCCTCACAGAAGCTTGCGCAACCCACCAAGCACAGCAACAGTTTGCTGGGGCAATTGATGCATTTGCCTCTGGCTCTCTCCCAGGATGCTTCGGCTCAAAAAATGGCCCCAAAAAAAAAAAAAAAGTAGGTTCTGACAAGGAACGATGGGCGACCAGCATAAAAAAAAATCAACCTTTCGGGTCACCAAGGAATCTCGAGAAGCTGCCGCCCTTAGGGCGCCCGGCGTGTCTCCCGTCAAGCTGTGGAAGTAGTAAGGCTGCCTTGGAACGGGACCAAAAACTCCTCCAGGACTGGCACCCAAACTTGAGCCGATTCTTAGAGGGAAGCTTTCTAGGCTGGAAAAAAGAGACCCCAGCAAAAAATATATCCTTCTTTTGCCTGGTTTGTGGAAAACAAAGGGACCCCAAAAAAGCGAAAAGGAAAAAGGGGAGCTGATTCTGGGGAAGTTTTTGACACTGTCACACGCCCAATCACACCCACCTGCGCTCGTGGCCGAATTAAAAGGTGGCAATGCTCAAAGTGGCTCACCACAGGTTCAAACCACAACCTGCTCAAAGTGGTTGAAAGGGCTCAGGCAATGCTCATAGCAAGCCTGAACTACCACATGCCGTTTTTTCCTCCCCCCTCTTCCGGGCCACCCGAAGGCCCCGAACGAAAGCTTCCGTCCGTTCATCTCGAAGCCGAATCTCGCCAAATTGGGCGCTGGGCCCTGAGAAGTCCAACTCCTCTGACCTCCGATCGGGTGGATGGATTGGCCTCCATGTGGTTTAGGGTTTCCATTGGCTGAAGCCTGGGTTTCCATCTCGTTCTCATGGATGGGCACGATTCCTGGATGTGAGAAAGGGAGTGACCAAAAACCGGGAGAGAAAAAAAAGGTGACTGACCAAACCAACTCCCCCCAGCCACCTGAGGAGTGGACCACTCGGGCGGCAAAGGCAGCTCCAACATGTGGTGACTCGGCCGGCAAGGCGCGAAATTCTCGGCGCGGAGCCCTGGACCCCCCTCCCAACAACAAACAACAAACCCAGAACCTGCGCAGGACTTGGCGATTGGTTCCTGCATCCATCCCACTTTCCTTTTGAGGGGCGGTCCCTGTGCAGGTTCCTTCTCTTTGCTCTTGGGACTTGTGGCTTCACTGGAAACGACCACAGTCCATCGCCATGGATTCCTAGCCATCGCCGGTCGCCAGATTTGAGGCTGCCGCGCCACCATCCAGGGCCTCAGTCCGTGCCGCCGAACCCGAAATCAAGCTTTGCCTCGGCTCACCGAAGACTTGGACTCCAAATACCCCGAGCAACCGCAGGTCGCCATGCCTCAGGCCGTTTTTGCGCTGTCACACAAACTGTTCAGCTGCCGGGCCTTTGGCCCGACCTGGAAGCCGCCGAGCGCCCCGGCAGCGATCCGCGATCCACGTCCTCCAGGCCCAGCTGCCGCGCAAGGTCCGCGAACCTCGGCGCGAATCCGAGCCCAAGGACACTCAGACTTGGGGCGGCTCAAAGTAGGACTTGGAACCCCCCAAAAAAAGGGTTGGTGGTCCTTTGGCTTCCTGTAAACCCAACCCCAAAAAGGGTACCCTCGAAAAAACACACCCACTTAGAATCGATTCTATGTTCTTCACTGACGTCTTTGGCACAATGCCGTGCTGTTCCAACTGGTCCCGTTGCATGTGTGGCCTTAAAGGCTCGTACCGACCAAAAGTAGGATATAAAGCAACAAATGGTATCGCACACAAGTTAGCAGTCACAACATTGAAGTTGGTACGTGAGTTGTTTGAACTCGTCAGATTTCCCCCAACTCCCTGTTTTGGTCATGTTTTGATGGGTGGCTCTTCTGTGCCCCCGACATCGCTCTAAGGCCGGCGCTGCAAATGCCGGCTTTCCTGAGGCAAGAAACGCGTCGCCCCACCCGAAATTGGTGTCCAGTTGGTAGATGCACAGGGTGAGTTGGTAGATGGCACATTGATTTCATATTGATATCAATGTGGTCTGATGTGGTCTGTTTCCATTCGGTTTTTTGCTGATTGCCATTGGGTATCTCCGTGTGAGTTGGTACCCGGGCACTTGTGGTAAAGGGGATGACTAAACCCATGATGGAAGTGCACCATCTGCTTCCAGCCAAGTATATATACTACAATCTGCTTCAGCAGTGGCTTTCAGTTGCGCCAGTTCCTGCAAACCTATTTCTCTTTCCCCCCCCAACCCCCCCCCCCCAAAAAAAAAAAAAAAACAGTGCAAAATGAGTTCACTGGTAGACACTGAACAAAATGAAGCGAATAAGAGGGTATAAGAAAGACGTTGCTCTGAGATGAAACCGTGAAAGCACGCCACAAGATCGAACAAACATGAATGAACTTGCGCTTTTGGAAGGTACGCAAAGGTGTAACCCGCATGTTGAGAATATTGGGAAAACAGTGGTGCATCAGCCAGCACAAGCTCACTAGAATGGAATATTTGCAAATTACTTACATGTGTTCGGGCATTTAGCACCAAATATCGCGACGAAAGCTGTCGGCAACTCGTGATTGGCCAGGTATTCTCCTCTACCATAAGAGTAGCTGTCAATTGCAGTGTGACTACTTAGGTTGCAACATGTAAATTGTCATCAACCTGCTTTTGCCCAGCCCAGGATGACTCCCTTTCCACGCCATGCCCAAAGCAAGCCTGTGCAAGGCAGGCCCGATCTCGAGGCCTGCCAAGACACTAAGGGCGGCCTTCATTCGGCAGCCTTCGCGGCGAAAATCTGCGCCGTGGTCAAAACTCTGAGTCTGGTCCGGTGGTGGCCGTCTATGTGGCCCGCGTCCTGCCGTCATCAAGGCCAGACACGTAAAACAGCAAAAAGAAGAAATAGCCATTCTGCCTGAAATGGTCCTTGGAAACGGCGAACATCATGGGCTGTTTAGTCAAACTTTCTAGTCAGAGAGCCTACAAGGCTTACAATATGATATTGAACATGTCCCCGAAATGAGGAAACCCCGAGCAACGACATCATGGTAAGCTCGGTGTATCCCAAGCTCGGCAGAACGGATCCACCCAGGCTCCAGGCTTTGACCATGGGACATCTGTCAGGGGCACACCCTCGCAAGGAGGACCGAAAATCCCAGAGACCAAGGGCGAAGGATGGGCCATGCACTCCGGAACTCTAGCTGCAAATCATGCACTCCCGCCCATCCACCCACCCACCCACACATTTGAATTAAGCAATCCCTACAGGGACCTTCAGGGAGAAGTGAGACCCTACCCCCCCTTTCAACACGAGAAGTGTGCCAAACACGGCGCCCAAGCAAGTAGCGAGCCTAAATGAAGCAACTCCCAAGATCGTTGTTTTACCCCAAGGTGAACTTCACAGTGAGTTCAGCTGGTTTACCAAAAAAAACGACTTTTTGGAATCGAACAGGCCACATCCTTCCAGGCAGGTGGGTCAATCCACTTCCTGAGGTGCTGCCTGCCCTTTTGCCCTGGAAAACCTGCCTTTGCTGGAAAGGCGCCTTTGGGCAATCCCCACCCCGTCGGAAAAGCGTGCGTTCACTGGCAAATCATCACTCCAGGGTGTCTTAGGTGGTGCAGGATTTCGTCCATCCACAGTATTAATATGGTCTCTTCCCTTGCGTGCCAAAACTGGGAATCCTAAGGGGCGCCTTGACGTTCTTTCGGCCGAGAATCTTCAGTCATTACTTGGGTATGTGTTTTTTTTCATGGTAGCAGCTTTTGGGCAGTTGCAGGGAACCAAGAGGAACGCTCCCCAACTTGGGGCGTACACCTATTTTTTGACACATCACATCTTTGGGGTTATGCAACCCTCTCGGGGTCGGGACGCCTCAGGACCGCGTGAAACCGAGACCTCTTCGAGGCTCTTGCCCGAGTCTGGCGTATCCAAAACCAGGACGTATGGAATGCGTCTGACGAACCTGTCTGTTCCGAACACCCCCCCCCCCACCAGAGTAGAGGAGGGTCGTCGCTGGTACTTGCCCGCCTCATGCTTGTTTCTCCGCCTTTCCTCACTTGTAAGTCCAACCAACATCCAACATTCTGCATGCAGAAGAGGTCAAGCCCAAAGCAGAGTTGTTCAAAGGAAGGAAGCGTCCTTCTCCTGCCACCATGGCTCGTGCGTTTTTTGCACCCGCTCTTGTACTCACCACCTTTGCCGAATGAATCAACCCTGCAGGTTTTAGCGGGACGTCCCGCCTCCAAAGCAAAGGATCGCCCCTGAAAGGGCACACCCCCTGCACTATCAGAATCATGGTGTAATGGGGGGTGTTCCCTCCAAAAGTGAGTGCGGATTAATCAACCAGGGGCTTATTAATCCGGGGCATCGTCATGCTCGGCCCTTGTTTCGGACGCCGCCAGTCTCCCCTTCGCTCAATTCATCAGCAGCGCGCTGCTGGCCCTCTTCTCAACCTTACCGACAACCCAAATCAAACATGCGAAAGGTGAGCACCGCTGGAAAGAAACAAAAACGAACCCACCGGGAAAACAAACAACTATGCATATATATATATATATGTGTGTGTGTGTGTGTGCACATAAAGTTGCACTACTCACAACTAAGGAAAAAGCAAAAAAAAAAAAAACGGAGACAAGGGCTGCAAGGGGTGGTGGAAAAAACCTCCCCCCTCCCCATTCCCCCCCTTCCATCCCCCCTCGCTTCTCTCGGACGAAGGCGAGGCACGTCGTCGGCCAGGCGCAGCAAGATGCGGCGCGCCAGCTGCCGCGCGAAGCGCTGGGCGAAGGAGGCCGCGCCGGGGGTGATGGAGGGCAGGAGGCCCTGCGATCCCACAGGGCCCCTCACCGTAAGATGGCCCCGGCCTTCATCCACCCACCCACCCACCCAACCCGCCCGCCCGGCCCGGCAAAAGGAACCCTAGTGGCTAGTAGGCCTTATTCGTCACTAGTAGCCCCTGGGATTTGGGAATCGGTCCCTTGGGGGGACCCTTGCCAAGCATAGGATCTCAAAGCCTATTTGGTGCATGGTCGTGGTGTCCGTTAGATCGCATTTGGTGCATGGTCGTGGTGTCCGTTGGAACGATCGCAAATAAGGGGAATGCAGGCCCTGGATCGATCCGCAGAGGGGGGGCGGGAGGGGAGAGATGGTGGACACTGCAGCGTGGCCACCTTCATGTCTTAGGGCTCTGGATGCGAAATTCTGGCTGAGCGATTCCCCCTCAAACCAACCCGCCTGCGGGTATTTCACAGTTCTCCCCTCAACACAATCCTCCTTGCTGGCTCTTTTTCTGTTGAAAGGACCGAACAAGGGTCCTCCTTTTGGGTTTCCACGAGCAATTTTGCGAGGGATGGCAGTCCAAAGCTCAAAGCCCTCCCTCAGAGTTTGCATCACGGGGTTCCACGGAGACCCTTCCGAGTTCCGGAGGAAGCCAGGCCTTCCCAACGACTCCTGACCAACCGTTGAACGAGACACACGCGCGGCTTCTAGCCGCAACAGCTTCCGAGGCTACCGGTTCCAGGCGAGAGGTCCTGCAAGCCTCTTGCAGCCTTGGGAGACCCCACGATGGTGTCCGCTGTCCCCAAACAACCCTCGCGGGAAAGGGGGTGGGGGGGTACATCCACCGTATACATCAAGAGATTCACTAGATAGAGTTCGCCAAGCTGGCGCTAGGGGATTCACGTACAGTGTGCAAATCCCATTTTTTGGCCGACACATTCATGCATGTATATGTATGCGTCCGTGTATGTTGCATATGCGCAACAAAAAAAAAACATGTCTTCATATGCATGAATACCTACCTCTGCGCGCCTTGTCAAACAGAATCTGTGTGAGGACTGCATAGGTCAGATCCATACATCCTTGCCATGTCCATGGGTCCCGCCTGCGCTAGGGGCTGCAACCGCTGAAGCCCCCGCACCGTCTGCAGGAGGTCCCCCCGGTCGCGCTCGGAGCCCGCGCGCTCGGAGTCCGCGCTGGCCCGGGCGGCGTCCACGAGCTGCACGATGCGGCGGATCACCAGCAGGGACTGCTTGTCGTCCCGGTTCAGCAACTGCGTGTGGCTGATTGTTTTTAAGAGCTGGGGCAAACAGCAGGTTTTGGTCTTTGTTTCCATCCAAGGGGCCCAAAAGTTGGTACCACTTTTTTGAGCCCCAGCCAAATCGCAAAAAAGAAATGGGATGCCAGGCCATCGACGAGGCCATGTTGGTCGAAGCTGTGACCACCACGTCTGTCCAAAGAACCTGCCCTTCAGCAAAAGAGCTCAAGCCCGCATCTACCTTCCCATATCGGTGAACCGGACAAACAAAGACATGTGCTTTGGTGCTTACCCGTGGTTGTCGCTCAAGCATCGGGTCGCCCGGCTTGTAGAGAGGAACAATGACATCTGCGGCCCCCTAGAGTGATAACAAGAAGTCTGGATCTATCTGACTCAATGACTCCAGCTGCCAGCTTGTCAGACCTCGGGCCCGCATCTGAGCGGGCCGCAGAGTAAATTCTGGGTGCATTTTGTTGGAGTGTGTCATCTCCGCTCACAAGGCAGGCAATCCAACTTGGCCCAGATCTGGCGCGCACAAAAACTATATGATCAAGTTCTGTTCATATGTTGCCTACTCCAGAACATTCATCGTGAGCTCGCTTTACAAAGGGCCCCAGAAACCCCAACCCCGCCACAACTTCGCCTCAGCCCCCGGGGCAAACCCCCTCACACCTTTGCGGGATCTCCCAAACCCCAGCCCCAACCCCTTCCCCACTCTCAAGATGACTTGCTAATGAACCCAGGGATTCCCTAAAAGGAAACCACAAGGGATGGTTCATAGGGGTCATTCCCTCTTTCCCTGCCCAGAAAACCGCCCAAATGATTCGGTCCAAGGTGCCGCCTGGTCGTCGGAGCCCCCAAGCAGGAAGTTCAGCGGCAGCGCCAGCGGCAGCGCCAGGGGCCCC